ACCTACTTCACAAAATTGTCAGGAGAAAATTATGTAATGTATTAAAATGTTTATTTAGCGTAGTTACCTGACACATAGTAACTACTGAAAAGGTAGCTATCATTAGAATAATTATTTTTACCACACAGCTGGAGTAGAGCATCTTTTATTCTATCCATGAGATTCTTACCACTATTTGTTCAGTAATTCATGTACCTAGTCATAAATATTTCCAGTTTTCCCTCCCATGTCATGATAGGCTTACATTTCTCTGTTCACTTTAGTTAGGTGTAGCCACATATCTTGCATTAGCCAGTGAATGTAAGCACAAGTGATATTTATCACTTCCAGGTAGAAGCTTATAAGAACCAGGATGTGAGCACATTCCTTGACAATTGGCAGAGGTAGAAGTGTAGAAATGGTGGTTGCACTCTTATCCCTGGGTCTTAGAGCAAAGACAATGCAGCGATGGTCTCTCCACTTACCTACAATGGACATGTACCAAGAGTAAGAAATAAACTTTGCTGTCTTAGGTCACTGAGGTTTGGAGGTCTGTTGTTACTACAATATAACCTAGCCTATCCTGACTGGTACACTCTGGTTGCACCTTCAGATCTTGGGAAAAAAATATATTATTGGTAATAGTACATAAATATATAGCTATTTGGAGATAGTAATTCTTCATGACTATTTGTGTGTGTATGTGTATGTATTACATGTTATATGTAAGCATCAGATTTAGAGTTTTAAGTTAAATTGATATAAAATTTTTCCATATAAATTTATTTTAAAATAAGGTTTATTTCTGTTTCATACAGAGGAAAATCAACATACCAAAATTACCAGCATTTTCTTTTTCTTTTTTTGGGGAGAGTCAATCATGATGCCAAAGTCAGTAAATTCTTGGCTTGGTATGAGATTAGGTCACGGACCCTCACGCAGAGGGACTAGACCATGCCCATGGCCCTCGGCTCCCATAAGAAAACAGTCTTCCCTAAGCCCTTTTGCAATGTTCCACTTGTAAACAGTGGTGCTTAGTATATAGAGGGTCTTAAACAATCTGTATTGAATTAAGGAATGGAAATAGTCCACAGGTTTTCAACTATCTGGACTCTCATGTTTATATTTTAGAAGTGAATGTCTTTATTTTGGACATCAGTTTAAAAACCTCTCAGTATGAAGACTTACATTTATTCTTCTGTAAAATTTTATATGTGACTGACCATGTACCCATGGATTTAGGCTTTTTGTTTGATATTTTTGTACTGCTGATTTAATTTCACCTCATTATTTCATTTCATAATGTAGTCTCTAAAACTACATTATGAAATACCTTAATTATTTAAATTAGGACCAGATTAATTATCTCCAGTGTACAAATTCAAATTAATTTCATTGTTAACTCGGGTTTTAAATTGATTAATCTTGGAGTGTTTAAGGAACCAAGTGGGGTCTTTGTCATCCTTAAGGAGGACATACTTCATTTGATGAATCGCTCTCCATTGTACCAGTTATGCTAATAGAAGCAAGAAATTTGCAAGAAAACTTTGGATTCATTTTAAAAACCAGCCAGAAACCTGTGTGTCTAGGGCTTTTAGAGGAACAATCTGTGAGTCATTTTAAAAAACAAACACACTCATAATCACAGTGCATGTTGTTACCATGGTAATTAGGCCTGTTGAATTGGTTCGTTTATGTTCCTGTAAAGGGAGAGAGGGAGAAAAACTGAGAATTCAGAGCTTTGACTGTCAGCTTCAATTTGCCTACTGCAAGAGAGAATTTAGGGGGTTCTTAAGAACATATTGGCACAGTCATCCTCAGAGGGAGGTGAAGAAACTCTGGCATCTTGCCTTTGTTACTGAATGTAAGTTAGCCCTATTAGTGTTGAGTATTGTGATTCACAGGGGAGAAATGGAGCATTTGGCATTCTCTTGGGAAGAAGGGGGGAAATAGTTCCTTTATCTGATGTATAATTACATAGGCATCTCTAGGGTCTACCTAGTAAAGTGTCCTGTGTACACGGGCACAGGGCTTTCATGATCCTTTACAAGGCGCCAAATGGTGCTGATGTGAAGATTTCAAGGATTCTCAGTGCGTTATTCTAATACAGTTAGAGACTGGTTTCAGTGAGGCCATTGTTTCAGATCTGCTTCCCAGGTAGACCAGGTATCTTTTCTCTGTTTATGGAGTAGAAATGACTTCTTTATCTTGGACAGTCTTGTAATCTTGTAATATAGGCCTGTGGGTCAAAGAGGAGACCAGAGAGATTGTGCGAGCTCTGCCAAATCTGTCACTGCTCTGGCAGAAAGTAAAATCAAAGATTATGTTTGGTTGATGAACAGGCAACAGAGTTATTGGGCCAGTGGAATTCCTGTAGGAGTGATTCATTATATTCTATGTGAATAACAAACTACACCCTTAAAGATATGAGTTAATGCTTACATGAAGCTGTTTCTAAGAGTGTTTCCAACTTCACTTTAAGAAGTCTAGGTATCCGCTTAAATGGATAATTATAATACATTGACAGAAGAAGGTTTTTTTACAGTATTCCTTAAACAGATTTTAAAGCAGATTTTATTTAGAGTTAAACAATTTCTCCTTATTAAAACTATTTTTCAAAAGGCTTGAAATAAAGTGCCATGGGGTGTGATGAAAGGGTCATATGTGTTCAGGGAATGTGTGTGATTTGTGCCCGGGCATATGATATCAATAACTACTTCTTGAAACTGTAGATTTCATTTTTCCTCTCACATAGAGGAAGAAGGCACATGTGGCCCAAACTTCAGAATGAAGTTCTTAACCTTACTAAACAATGCTTAACTTAAATGTTTTATCTGATGATCAAAATAATTCATGGTGATTATTGAGAATCTGGAAAATGCTTAACTTGTAAAGAAAAAATAATAATGACCCCTTCCATTAATTAGGTTGTTGGTTGCATGCATGTAATAGAGACTTGATTTCACATTGCTGACAGAAGTTAGAAGTTATTTTTCTTTCACCTAAAGATCTAGAGGTGGGTGGCCCAAGGCTTGGTAAGGTAGCTCTGCTCCACAAGACCATCTAGGGACCCAGGCTCTCTGTCATGTTGTTCCATAACTCAAGCATGTTTCCCATGCTTTATGGTCTAAAGTGGCTTGCCATAAGGACCCCATATAATCAGGAGGAAGGGAGTGAGTTGGAAACAGGAGAGCATTACCCAGTGGTTGCACATACCATTTTTGCAGCCATCCCATTGAACTCTGTCTCATGATCACACACCTAGCAGCTAGGGAGCCTGGGAAAAGCAGTTATTCTTGACAGGTATGTGCCTCACTGAGAATTCTATTAAAAGTGTGGAAAAAGAGGGGAACAGATATTGGGGCATATCTAGCAATTTCTACTACTTCTATAAACCTAGAGATAATAGGATAGAAGAGGTAATACACTGTTTACATTTTAATGTATCTTCTTTCAATCTTTTTTTTAGAAAAATTTATATCAGAAAAATTATGCATATTTACTAGAAAATATTATGTCTGATATATTAGAGTATTTCATATGAAAATTATATTTCTGTTATAGAAGATATATTAGAAAAATATTGTATTTGTACATATATATTAGAAAATTAATTGAGGTTATACTATACATGTAATTTTCTCTTTTCACATAACTTAATAGCATGTATATTTTTCCTTATCATTTAAATTTTTGTATTTATTGTTTCAAAGTTCCATCATGTAGAGTTTCTCAGTTTTACTTAATAGACTGTATTACTGATATTTAGGCCATTTCTAACACCTTGGTAATAATTCTTTGTCAACATTGTGGAGTTCTTCTTTTTGGGGAATAGAGTCAAGGAGTGGCATCACTAAGACAATGATTGAGAACATACCTGAGGATCTTGATAAATAGTGCCAAACTGCTTTCCAGAGAGATTGTGCTGATTTATGCTGGCACCAATAATGTATGAAAGTCCTGGACTCAGAGCACCCTTGAGAAGGCTTATTTTGCCAGTCCCACTGAACACTGCTATCCCTAGGGTTCATTCTCTGAAAATAGGTTGTTTTTTGCTCTTGGCTTTTTTTTTTTTTTCCCTTTGCTATCATTAGTCATGAGATAATGGTTTTCTAATAACGTTGGCTCATCTAAAAACATGAGATAGTGACCTGGGAATATAACTGGTTGGGCTGAGATCGCAGCGTACATGCCGTCTTGAGCAGTGCGATCTCCAGAGATGCTGATGTTCATCTGGTCTTAGGAGCCGCTGTGAATTTGGTTTCAGCTCCCAGTCACGATGCCATGGACGTAAGGTACTTTGTTCCAAGACATAGCAAAATAGGAATGGTAAAGCATTCCCTCACACTTAGGCAGTTTCCTTTGAGCTGGATATTGGGTGGCTTTTTAAGAGTCAGAAAGGTTCTCTAGGTAGGAACTTTCTTGATATGAACCACTTGGCAGTAGGCAAAATTAGGCCAACACTATTCAACATTCTTAGAGGTCATAAGTGGTTAGTGGTATTGGTATCACTACATGTAAACAACCCTCAGAAGCTTTGGATGCTAAAGATGCTTTTATAACCCTAACTTGTCCCAGTCTACCCTCTTAAAGGGCTAGATACACACGAATGGGACTCCAGCTCTGTGCCTAACATCTGGAGCAAGGTTGTGTTCTGTCTCTGCCACTTTGGTCCTGCTGGGAGCAAATCGTGTTAGGTCAAGAGAAAACCTGTTCTTATTCATCACTGATTCACAGTCTCTGTCACCAAGAACTCTGGTTCCCAAGCCAGCTTTGTGTTTTCATGTTTCCTTGCAGACTAGTGAAGTTCACAAAGAAAGGAACTCTTATTTTCACAGTTCTGTTTTATTAAAGAAAAAGAGTCAACAGAACGTACACCCGTGAGACCCTCTGCCCATAGAGCTATTCAGTTACAACCAAATTCTATTTACAGAAATACTCATTTGTTGTTAAACTCTTAATGTTTCATGTTATTTCTCCTTTTTTTTAAAAATAAATTTTACTCTCTGCTTTCTCTACAGCCAGAATTGCCAGTGAGCCTCAGGCTTTGGAAACTGAAGAGGTAAGAAATCTGAAGTATTTTCTTTTAGAACCTTCTTAAATCTAACTAGAACTTCAAGTTGAAAAAATACCATAAGAAATCCTATAGATTTAAGCATTTGACATGTGATGTTTATTAAAACAACTTTTTAAGAGGCTTAAGCAATATCGACATGACTTCAGGATTTAAGAAAAATGTAGCTCTCTTTAATGGTAGTAAAAATCAGATTTCTCACCTGAATTTTCCAGTTTTTTTCTAAAAACCTGAGTTTGGAGACCCTTTGAGGTCGCTGCCTTAACAAAATATATTCCTATGATACCAAATATGATTGCTTGGGTGCAGCCATTGAGGACAATACCCTGGGTAAGAGAGACATCAATGTGAAACCTAGTTCTTAAGCAACTGGCTGTAGACGTGGTACGGGCTTTTCCAGCAGCAAAACCATAGAAACAACAAAAGGTCATTCTGATGCTGTTGGGTTTCTTCTTGAAGAAGCTGCCTTCACTTCTGAAACTAGCTAAGGTCATTTGAATATCGTTGTAGACTTGAAAGGCCACTGTGTTGCTAAGACCAGGTGATAATGTGTTTGCCCTCCCCAGCCAACAGTGACTTGGATTTTTTCCCCCTATTTTATAATTTAACCTTATTAGGAAAAACTTCAAGCATATCCCAAGATAGAAAAATATAATGAACTTCCATGTCCCCATCACTCAATTTCAGCAACTATCAAGTTATGGCCAGTATTGTTTCATTTACAGCTCCATCCATTTCTCTTTTTTCCTCCATATAATTTTGGATTATATGGCAATGGCTTAAATTTGATTGTTGAATTTTTAATTGTTTATTTACAAGACTACTTAGTGGCTACAGCAAAATGCTAATAAAAAATAAAACCTACTTATATCCTAACTTAGTTTCCTGGAGCTAGTCTTTCATACATTTATTCAGCAAATATTTAGTATTTACTAGTATCAGAAACTTCTTAGGGTAAGAATCTGTGATCTAGAGCTTATTGGAAGAAAGGCCTGTGTGTGCATGCTTTTAAGACTGTAGCTTTTGCTACTCCATAATGGGATTCTTTTGGCATCAAGTATTATGCATCAATATCTTATAGGTGAAGGCTGAGTCATTCCTACATCCTACCAAATTCAGTAGTCACCTCTTAGTCATGGGGGCTATGTTCGAAGACCCCCAGTCTCTATATATACTAAGTTTTTTCCTATACATATGTACCTCTAATAAAGTTTAATTTATAAATAAGGCACTGTAAGAGGTTAACAAGCATAACTAATAATAAAATAGAGCAGTTATAACAATATGCTGTAGTAAGAGTTATGTGAATGTGGTCTCTCTCTCCCTCTCCCTCTCAAATCTCTTCTTGTTCTGTACTCACCCTTCTTTGATGATGTGAGATGATAAAATGCCTATGTGATGAGATAAAGTGAGATAAGGTAAATGACAGGCATTGTGACATAGAATTAGGCTACTATTGACTTTTTGAATGTATGTCAGAAGGAGGATCACCTGCTTCCAGACTGTGGTTGACTGCAGGTAACTGAAACCGTGGAAGGCAATCCTAAGGATGAGGGGGTGACTGCTGTATTACTAATAATGAAGACTGTTCTATAAATATTTGATGTTCTCTGTCTGATGTTTGTGTTGATCTCTTTCATGCTAATGAATATACTTAAATGTTTCAAGTCAGTCCTAGATGAGTTTCTCAAATGGGGTTTGCTGGCATGTTGAATGGGACAGTCCTCGTTGTGCTCTTACAAAGGACCGGGAGTGTCTTCTTGTCGTTGTACTACCAGCACACTGCAGGGAAACATTGGGCACTACTGTGTCTTTACACACAATGTTAAAGAGGTTGGTTGTCATTTTCCACTCCCACCTACAAGTGCTTTTGCTTCATACAAAATTACTGGTTTCAGTTATGCTCTGTGGTTCCTTATGTAAGTGGTCTCTGTGCTAACAAACTAAAGAAAGAAAGTAAACAAGGTAGCCATGTAAAAGAAGGTATTGTCTTCCACTGTCGAAGGGATTTGGAGCATATTTGTTTTAGTACCAGATCTGTTTTTTTAAATCTGTACAGAGAAGCAAATTAAACATTAGGTAAGAAATGGTCAAATGTTGAAGTTTAAAGCAAAATATTAGTAAGGCATCATGCAAGTTGAACAGCAGCAGTGATAAAGGATATATATCATATCTTATTTGTTGCTGGAAACATTTAAGCCACAAACTTAATGGCTTAAAGCAAGACAAATTTACTACCTTACAGTTCTGTAGGTTAGGTTCTGTAGGGATCTCACTGGGACAAAAACAAAGTATTAACAGAGCTACATTCCTTTTTGTAGGGTCTAGGGGAAAATTCTAAAGTCCCCTTCCTCCATCTTCAAAGCTAACAATATGTGTGTCTCCCTACAGTAGTCAATCTCTTAATTCTGAACTCAGATAGGAAATGTTCTTTGCTATTTAAGGACCTATGTGATAAGATTTGGCATACCTTGATAACGTACACTACTCTTAAGTCCCTTAATTTAATCATATCTTCAAAGTCCCTTTATCCTTGCAAGTTACATATTCACAGGTTCCAGGCATTAGGACATAGACCTATTTGGGAGCTGTTATTCTGCCTGCTACAGAGTAATAGAGATTAATTGTTCAGAAAGGTAGAAATGTGTCAGGTAGCAGAGGTCAGATTATCTAACAATTCATGTATAGAGTTGAGAAGGTTTAGAGTTCCCAGCTTGATGAAACAAGTTCTTGCCTTGATTCTGCAAGCCTGTTTTGTAGACACGAGCACTGAAGGCTTTTGGTTTTCTTGGAGTGTTTGGCATTGGCTCAAGTGGACAGGTTGAAGTCCAGCAGCTCTTCTCTTCTGGCCCCATAGGTGTGGCCTCTGGAGAGTGGGCTGCTTTTGGTGTATCCCCAGCTCTGGGGAGTTTGCCTACAGTGCACAGGTCCCAAGGGCTTTGAATAGCACCAAAGAACGGTGAGATTTTTATTTTATGCTGTTATGTCTGCCTGCCATATTGTGCTTTATTTATTAGGCTCTAAAATATGGAAATTGGAGAGAAAAATAACATCATATTTCAGAACCTTACTATAGTGGTATTTATGATAGCTAATTTCTAAGTACGGTTTAATTTCCACCATACATTAAGTCAATCATCCACACAAAATAAGAAATCATTTCCTACCTATTGAAGGAAATGGATCCCTGGGTTTGTTTTTGTTTTGTTTTATTTTTTTCTGAAAACCATCTCTGGAGTAAAATGTAGCTGGAAATTTTTGGTGGAGATTTAAAATCTTTTCAGTTGTTTTTATAGCAAGTCTCCATTCCATCTACTTCTAGGTTCTTCAGCAGTGCCAAGGAAGTTGAAACCCAGGGCTGGCAGAGGGGTTGCAAACCCTCCCAATTTGTCTCAGACTGAGGAGTTTCCTGGGACATGGGACCTTCAGTGCTAAGAGTGGGAGTCCTGGGCAAATCAGGAGAGCTCCTCATCCCAAATGTCTAACACATAGCTCTAATGGAAAGTGGCTTTCATGCTGATGAATTATTGAAATAGAAATTCTATTGAACTAAATAGTGATGACAACCTCCAGGGTTTGGGTTGAAGGTAAGAGTGAGTCCAACTCTTGTAAAATATGTATGCACATAGATGTGTTTGCGTAAAACAGTTAAAAAGAAAAACCAAAGATTCAGAACTAACAAGAACCAATAACATTTATGAAATCTTACATTTCATGGCCTATCCTTCCAGTTCCCCAGTGTCACCAGTACCCTTCTGGGCGTCACATCTTTAGTGCTTTGTTAGTGAAGTGACCATAGGACCTCACTGAATCTTTTTCAGCATGTCAGCATGTATGGAAATTATAAAACCCAAGTTTGCCAAAGCAGCGCAGAGCTCTCTTGGCTTGAATTGTGCCTTTTATATAAGAAAATTGAACTTTCCCCTCAAGAGACAGCACGGGCTGTTCAGGAATAGATAAGTATTAGGAAAACTATCTTGAATGCCTAAGGGGAGGGGATTGGACTGAATAATGTCTCGGAGCCTTATCCGGCTCTAAGAATTGTTACTTGCTGACCTCCCAGTGGTACAGCGTGAGCACCTTCCCCTGATGTAACTAGCTGCATCTGCATAAGAACTTGCTCAGCGCTTCCTCCTGCTCCCATGATGCACTGCCCTATGTCCCCCGTGGCAAAGCCAGACCGAGAAAACTGGACTGCGGAAGGCCCTAGGGCCTCATCCCTTACATTTCTGTGACCTTTATTTGGGGACTTTTGTTCTCTAAGGCATTGGGACAAAGAGGACTGTAAGAGTACTTGAAAGAGCAATAAATTAACTTCCCCAAAATAGACATTTGACTTTTAGAGCTGGTAGGTTTTCTTTTTTAAAATATATTTAACTGTTCCCCATCTTCCAAACTGTTCTAGTTTGTAGGTTCAAGTAATTCTCTTTCAATTCTTTTTTTTCCCAAAAAGATTGAACACTGTCATTCATGGAGGTAGGATCTGGGTTTCTGACAAGGATAGGCCCTGGAAAGAATTGCGAATTATTTTTTTCTCCTCAATCCCTTTTTTGGATTACTTCCTTCCAGGACTCCCAATCCTGGTTTCATTTTGTTAAGATTAGCTTCATTTCAGCTTTGAACCTCTGCTGGTTTTTTTATAACTCAAACAAGTTCCAGAAGAAATGAAGGCAGATCAGATTCTTATGCTGTCATTTATACCCAGATTCTTTTATTCTTTTCCAAAGAGAAATTAGAGAGTAAATGTAAATAAGACAGCCAAATAACTACTCTGGGTGCAGTTTCTTTGGGGGTAGTAGAAATGTCTTGGAACTAGATAGAGGTGATGGTGGCACAACATTGTGAATGTACTGAATGCCATTGAATTACACACTTTAAAGTGGTTAATGGTTAATTTTATGTTTTAATTTTACTCTGCCCCCCCAAAAAACTGCATTGATTAAACTTCAAGAGGAAAGAAAAAACACTGATTCTGCTTATCTTTAAAT